AGTCGAGAATGGCGCAAACTTCTCATAAGAATCTCCAGAAGTAAGAACTGCGATTACAGGGCAGTTTGAACTCGTGTCTTCTGCCAATAAGGCTGTCACTCGAGGCTGAAAATCCGGATCGTCATAGCGTGTGGCACGAGGATGCTGGTCATAAAATTGCTTGATAAGGTGCTTGTTCAGAATATTGGAGGCAGGTTCCCAACTGTTTTGACCATGAGGAAATCCCAACCATTTAATAAGAAACTGATGTTCACCGTCTTTTATTCGTTGCTTAAGCAGCTTCTCAACCTGATAAATATCACCGTCAGAATCTGGGGTTTTATCCGTGTCATTACTTGGACGGCGTACAGACTTTGTTACTACAGTCGTCATTCCAGTGGTTGCATTGGCAGGGGCCTGGGGTGTATGCGCGACGGAACCTGTGGGCGCTGTTGGGAGATTTTCTAGCTGCGGTACGCCGTTGGTAGCTCCTGGTATGTGTGCGCGGTCAGGGTCCTGGGACTCAGGGATAACCTCCTGGTGTTCTACCAAAAAACTGTCTGCTGGAAAATCTTCTTCAGTCAAATATGGCTCGTCAACCAGCTCTGGGGGGTGGCGTACCGGCCGTGTGTCTGGAGACACGTAAGGCTTGAGGCGAGTTACATGGACTGTGGTGGAAATACGGCGATTATCTGAGGCATGGAGGATGCAATGAACAGGAGACAGAAATTTGACTATCCTGTACGGTCCATGATAATTATGTGCCAATTTCTTAGAGAGGCCTTTACGGTTGCGAGGGGTATAAACCCAAACCTGTTCACCTACTTGGTACTTCGCAGGAACAGCATGGAGGTCATGGTAATCCTTCATTCGCTGTTGAGCTCGCTGAATATTCTCCTTGGCTATGCGGTGGGCAATTTCTATATTCTCCACAACACGGGCGCGGTGTTCAGCAATCGAGGCAGAAATTTCTCGCGGAGGCAAGAAGGAAACATCCATTGGTAGGCGTGGTTCTCTACCATATAACATATAGAACGGAGACTCTCCGGTAACTTCTGATGGGGAGACACGATAACCAAAGAGGACGGGGTTCAAGTACCGGTCCCAGTCCTTCTGGTCACTGCTGACATAGTGGGACAGACTCTGCGCTAGAGTACCATTGAAACGTTCCACTAATCCGTCACATTGAGGATGATAGCTGGACGTAAACTCCTTCTTAGTGCCCATCAGAAAACAAACTTCACGCACCAGGCTAGAGAGGAAATTGGAGCCTCTATCAGATAGCAGCGTACGGGGTGCACCATGGCGTGGCATAATCTGGTTGACCAGAAGATCAGCAATCGTGGGTGCATCGATGGAAGGCACGGCAAAGGCTTCTGGGTAGCGTGTTAAGTAGTCGGAGAAAACCACAATGTACCTGTTATTGGAAGTCGTGACAGGAAATGGGCCCAAACAATCGACAGCTACGCGGTCAAATGGTCCCTCTACAGGAATAGGTAGGATGGGTGCGGTTTTGCGCTGCTTTGGGCTTTTCTTCATTTGGCAGTGCGTACACGACAGACACCAATGCTGTACATCGGCAAACATCTTGGGCCAATAATACTTGTCACGTAGTTTGTCATAAGTTTTGTTCACTCCCAAATGTCCTGCTAAGGGATCGTCGTGGCCTCCAACTAAAATCTCGTGTCGTAATGGGGTTGGTACCACCAACTGGGACCTTGGTGTTTGGATACGGCGGCTTTTGGGAATCCAAAGGTGACACAACAGTCCACTAGGGTCCAAATAGTAGTCGTCAATGGAATGCATAATTGCTTTGGCTGTAGCGCCATTGGAAGGCAGCTCTTCTGTCTCAAGGTAGGTGATGATGTCAGCTAGGGATGGATCCTTACGTTGTAGTTCCCAAATTCTCTCTACCTGCACACCTGGTTTGTCGTAGGCCGCAACCACAGGATCATACGTACGTCGGGAGAGGGCATCAGCATTTCCATTACAATTACCGGCGCGGTGCTCAATGGTGAAGTCGTGTTGCTGGAGAAGTAATGCCCATCGAGCTAATCGACCAGTTGGCTCCTTGATATTCATCAACCAACGAACTGCATTATGGTCTGTAAATACCGTGAATTGGCGGCCATACAGGTAGGTCTGGAAGTGTCGTACACCGTCAACCACTGCCAGTGCTTCACGTTCTGTTACACTGTAGTTGCGTTCTGCAGGATTCAGTTTTCTTCCAGCATAAGAGATAACAACCTCGCGTCCATTCTGTTTCTGTCCTAGAACCATACCGATAGCGTCATTGCTTGCGTCGGTGGCCAATATAAAGGGGAGATTGAAGTCTGGGTAGGCAAGGATAGGTGCTTCCGTCAGTGCTTTCTTGAGAGTGTCAAAAGCGTCTTGACAAGCATCGGTCCAGACGAATTTCATTCCCTTCTTGGTCAGCTCGTGCAGGGGACTGGCAATCTGGGCACATCCTTTAATGAACTTACGATAGTAGTTGGTGAGACCCATGAAAGCTCGGACATCTTTGACAGTTTTAGGAACAGGGTATTCCTGAACTACTTTGACCTTGGCAGGGTCAGGCTGTAATCCCTCGGGCGTGATCACGTGACCCAGATAATTGACCTTAGTCTGTCCAAAATGGCACTTACTTGGCTTAAGTTTTAAACCGGCTTCACGAAAGCGATCAAAGACCAGGCGAAGATGCTGCAAATGTTCCTCGAAGGTTCGGGAGTATATCAGGACGTCATCAAGGTAGATCAACGCAATTTGCCAAGTCAGGCCTCTAAGGACGCATTCCATCAAGCGCTGGAACGTACCTGGGGCGTTACAGAGACCGAAAGGCATTGTGGTAAACTCATACAAGCCAGCATGAGTGACGAAAGCGGTCTTCTCACGAGAGGCGGGGTCCATTTCCACCTGCCAGTATCCAGATAGCAAATCAACACTGCTGAAAAACTTCGCTCCTCCCAACGCTTCTAGGCTCTCGGATATCAAAGGCAGGGGGTAAGAATCTTTCTTTGTAATCTTGTTCAGATTTCTGAAGTCACAGCAAAATCGTGAAGAGCCATCGGGCTTCGGAACCAAGACCACTGGACTGGCCCAGGGCGAAGCTGAAGGCTGTATGACGTCACGGCTCAGCATATCATTAATGTGGCTCTCTATAGTTTCCTTCTGTGTATGCGGAACGCGGTAAGGACGCGAACGTAACGGTCGATGGTCTCCGGTATCAATATGGTGCTGTACTAGGTTGGTGCGACCAAGTTCCTCCGGTGTGACGGCGAAAATATCTCTGTATTCGTTCAGCAGGGCCTTTAAGCGCTCTTGTTGTTCTTGGGTCAATGATGAACTTTGTAGGTCAACTGGCACTTCGTCTTGTTCCTGTCGTGGAGGCTGCATAGGACTGTTATCTCCGACAGGACAGAAGTCAGGATCACCACTAGCTTCGGAAAATGTCCCCAGACTAGCTCCTTTGTATAGGGTGATTGGCTTACTCGTTGGGTTGATCAGGCGAAAGGGCACTGTTTCTCCTTCGGCCACTTTTACTAAGGCAGCTGCTCCTTGTAGGTGATAGCGTTCAGCTAAGCGTGGTACAGATTCAATCAAACCAATAGCTCCTGGTGGAACGTCTCCTTTAATTTTGGCTGGAATCACCGTTTCACTTCGTGGTGGTACGACGTAAGTCACTGGGGCAATCAGTACCAGAAGGTCCTCTGAAAAAGTAACAGGTGCTGTATCTTTCAGCTGCAGAGTGTATTTGTCAAAGCTGATGTTGGCACGAGTAGCCCGTAGGAAGTCTCTTCCTAAGACACCCTTATACGTGACGCCTTCTAGAACCTTGAACTCACAAGGGTAGTTACCACCTGCGATGCTGATGGATGTACATAATATTCCACGCACAGGCAAATTCTCTCCACTAACTGTCTTTAACAACCTTGACTCACTTGGTTTTAAAGGTGGAGGGTGACCATCATACAATTCCAACATGTGGTCTGCATCCAAAACAGAAACAGCAGCTCCTGTGTCCACGAGACATCTAGTGGTTTTTCCATTTATCTGTACTTCCACTGTAAGGTCGGGTTGTGGCCCTTTTGCAGAAGTAGAAGCTACATGTTTGGTTCTGGCTGATTTCTGTTTGCTTCCAGGATTTTGAACTATAGGTTCACTGGTTGGTGATGCTACTTTCTCCTTCTCTATTGCACTCGAGGTGGTTTCTTCGGTGGTAGAATCTACAGGATAAGCTGGCTTCTCTGTGGCCACTGTCTCTGATCCCACTTTGAGTATATCTGCAGTTTCTCTTGAGGTTTCACTGACAGGACTTGTGTAGGCAGCACCATCGTTTAACTGGGTGGGCTCTGCTTTTAATACTGCTTTTAGGTCGTCTCGGGCGTCATCTGCATCGCTGAAGGCGCTCGGAGTGGCTGTTGGTGGTAGCAAACGAGTATCTCCAATATCTTTAGTAGGTACAGCGTCTATAACGGCTGGTTCCTGGTATTGGTCAGTGGTTTCTCGTTTTTGCGGGAAGGTTTTACCCACTGCTGATTGCACGGGCTGGTCATTGTTTACCACTTCTTCAGTCTCATCAGCATCTGCAAATTGGTCCTCAACGGTGTCCATTCCCAAAGTAGCACATAGAGAGGAATCCTGTTTGTCAGCAGGTGTAGCTTGTGGCGTAGAAGTGACATTGGTTAATTCATCGGAATCATCAGTAAATTCCTCTCCCTCTGTGGTTTGTTCCTCACTAGTTTGTTTTAAAGTTTCTGGATTAGATGTCAGCTGTTCCACCGTTCCAATCTCATTGACGGGAATTGCCTCAGGGCATAAGTTGTCAGTGAGTGGCTGATAACTTCCTTTCTTTGGGTAAGCTTTGTTCCATTCTTCCGCTAGGCCATGATATTCTTCTTCTGGTTTATATTCATAATAGTCGTCCCATTCGCCAGGGTAGTCATCGTAGTCGACTCCAGTAATATCATAATATCCCATTAGTGCCATATAATCTTCTGGTAGGTCATAATAATCATCGTTCAAAACAGCTAGTCGATCTTGGCGACCAGGGCCTGAGGCTCTCTGACGTGGCTGGAAGCTCGGCGGATTACGATTTCGTTCAAAGTTCCCTGGCGGTGGTAGTGCGTACCTGGGTACATTTCGTTCAGTGTTCCCTGGCGGTGGCAGTGCGTACCTGGGTACTGGTCCTCGCTCGCGTGAATGGCGTTGTGGACAACTAATTTGAATGTGACCAGTTTCTCCACAATAAAAACAGAAAGGCCTTCCATCCCTTGATCTCTGTGGATTGGCTCTAACATCTCTTCCACGTTGAACAATTCCATTAATTCGTGCATCCACACGTCGGTCTAAACTTCGCATTTCATTAGTCAGTTCCTGAATAAGTCTCTGAAGTCTCATGATCTGCTCATCTTTTCCAGGTTCTGAATATGCCGCAACCTTGTCTGGTTTGGCTTGTATCGGCAACAGGCTATCAATTTTCTTTGCCAATGTTTCAATTTGCACTTGCATGGCTTGTTGTTGATTATTTATTGTGTTACTGGTACCTGCTGCCATGGTATTGAGCGTTTTTGTCAAGTTACTTAACTGGGCGGCCATGGTTTGATTGGAATTGTTCATAGTTGTTTTCACTGCGGCAGCGAGACGAGCCATCTCCTCAGCTTCTTGAAAACTCTTAGGTTGCTTTAGTAGAACAGTCTCTCGTAAATCAGCTCTTAAACCTTGTACAAAATATCTCATCTTGTCTTCGTCCGAGATCTTTATTCTGCGAAACTTGCTGGTCAAATCATTCAGGTAGGTGTCGATAGACTCAACAGGTCCCTGTTGACGGGTCGTAATTGCTTGCCAGATGATCCAATTTTGATTTTCGTTCGCGAACCTCTCCCTCAAAGCTTCCCGCAATGCTATGAATGTATCCTTTCTGCCCTCATCCAAGGAATAATAGAAATCCTCTGCGGGTCCTGCGAGGTTTAATATCAGTTCTGCGAGTGCGGTGGGACTGTCTGTACGTATTCGGCGTAAATTTAAATAATGCTCCACTTTGTCAAGCCATCGGTTAATATCTTCGGAATCGAAGCCGTGAAATGGAGCGGGCCTTTGTGAACTAGATGTGTCCGGAATTGGAGCTTGTTCCATAGCATTGATAGTTCTCTGGCGAAATTCCCGATGGTTTTGCTGTTGACTCCTTAGTTCTTGTTGTAAAAAGTCAACTTGCTCCTGTAATTGCTCTAACACTTCGGCTTGCATGGTACCTGTTGCTAGAGTTTCACGAGTATGTAGTTTTTCTTTGTCTGTTGTAAATAGGGGTGATTCTCTTTCACCACTATGACTAAAATAGTCTTCAGAGTCGCTGTTATCGCTAGAATCCAAATTTGATTCGTTAGGATCCTCTTCTAGGCTTTCCTCGTAGTTTAACCTTATGGGAAAGTGTTTGTAGATATCAGCAGGTGAATTAATAACTGGTACCTGTTGGCCACCTGCTGTGAGGTTGTTTTCTTTCGTAATGTCTTCCTTTGCTCTCTCTTTTTCTCTGCCTTTTTCTAAATGTTCTTTTGTACAAAATTCGTCAGGATCAGTGCTATCCTGTTTTTCTATTTCAACGCAAACTTCCTCTCGCGAACAATGGGTTTTCTCGAGATCTGGGGGTGGTTCGCTTGGACTGGTACTTTCTCTGTGGCTGGGCTCGACGCTGATATCAATGGGTTCCAAATTCGTCTCATTTACTCTATCAGCTTTATCTGGGCGGGCTTCTGGTAATCCGGAACTTTCTCCTTTTCTGGGGCTTCGTTCGCGTCGTAACTCGGGGGCTATTTCACTTTCGTCGAAGGGCAAATCGCATTCCACACAGGCGTCAACCTTCGACTTGGGCGTACTGCTTCCGTACAATTGCTTCTGGCTTCTCAAATTATACGGTTTCTTTTTTCTTTTGAATAACTTCGACATGAACTGTCAAAAAAATTTGTTGTTGTTGTTGTTTTGTTTTTTTTTTTCACTTACTTGGGCGTCGTTTTCTTGTCGTTCGCTCCAAGGGGTTA